ATGGATTCCATGGGTACTCCCTACAAATAAGACTTCAGACCCGTTTGGGGCACCTTATACGGCGTTTTTAAAAACGCATATAACCGTTTGGTTTGCACGTTTTTTTAAAATGTTGTCTGTTACGTTTGAGCTTTTTACACTAAACACAGGCCGCGGGTCTACCCCCGTGGTTGACCTGTGGGCCGCGTTTTAGGAAAAGCCGGTTATCCTGAAACGTACAGCTTATCATAAAACGCACAAGCTGCCCCAAACATACCTTTTATTTCATAGATAAGGGTTACACAATTTTACTGTTTCATACTGTGGTATCACACTCTTGATGCTATTGCACTCTCTATTCCCCTCTCTTTCCTTTTTGTGCTTGACACGTCATCGACAAATTCTCAACATCAAGCATGAATCTCGAGGGATAACACAGATCTCAAGATAATATTTTTAGCAAGAATTGTTCAAATCTTGATAAAAAATCATCGAGAGTTCTAATTTCAGCAAACTTATAGTCAAATTGACCGGCTCGATGAGACAGACGCAATGATATAAAAAATAGTTCAATTCGAGTCAAATAAAATCCATATCAAGTCATTAGACCACTATTGGAAGATTTACAGACACATTTGAAAGGTCAAAAAGATGTCGAATCTGACAAGTTCATAGTCGAATCGAGCATCTCGATAAGTCAAATCCAACGAGCAGAGCCTAAGATTGCTAAATTCTGACATCGTTAAGAATCTCAAATGACCATCAAATGTCATTTGATTGAAGGAAGCTCAATCTCGAATGACCATCAAATGTCATTTGATTGAAGGAAGCTCTTTGAACCGTCCAATCGAAATTATTCATATTCCCACATTAATTACACTCAGAACACTATAAATGAAACCCCACCCCTCACATGAAGAAGAGCTTGAGCCTTGAGAGAGAGCTTGAAGCTTTGAGATGGAGCTGAAGTCCAGCACCATCCCTGCCATAGTCGATCGCCGCCGGCAACAGTCAACCGGCGCCGACAACCGTCAACTGTCCCACCGACTATCGTCATCGACCTTTGTCAACCATCACCGATCTTTGTTGACGATTGTTGTCAGTCGATGTTGTAACTTAGAAAATCTAGTAACTCTTTCTTGACTGTGAGACAAAAAGTTTATGCAGTCATCAATCTATTGTGGATTTTTACAACTTAGTCAGATCCCATAGTTTTTTCCCTTTACGGGGTTTTTCACGCAAAAACTTATGGTGTCATCACTGGTTATTTTTCTTTCATCTGAGTGTGTTGGATTCTCCTGCAATGCTAAGGCGATAACCCATTGCTTTACAGCTGTGAATTTTCTAGCACGCATCAGTGCTCTATTTCTTAGGAGTGTCTCCCGCACACTTTTAGATTCACAACATAAATAGATTGATCCGAGAATTTATTTTACAATTTTAAATATAAGAATATTAAACAACACAACTTGAATAGCCTAAAAATCTAACCTTATTATTCATGAAACTTTAGAAATATTAAATATGAATATCATTATTATTAATAATAAAACTAAATTTTAATTTCGTTGGTATTATAATATCATAAAATTCAATAAAAAAATTTTAAAATGAGAATTATCTCCGAGCACGACTAAAACCAAAAAAGGATAAATTAATGAATAAATATGAAAAAAGAAAGGACATAATGCATAAAAAATTAGTCTTGGTGAACAAGTAATGTTAGCTTCCGTAATAATGGTGAAAATAATTAAAACTACCGCTTGCTTCCGTAATAATGGTGAAAATAATTAAAACTACCGTCTTGTTGCTTCTTCTGGCAAGAAATGGGAAAAAATAAATGATAATTTGATTTTGTATTTTCTTAATTAAAACACAACGTGTAATTGCATAGATGCAATATCATATTGATGTGTTTCACTAGTCATATTATGTATAATATAAATGTATTATAAGCGTTCTTAAAATATATTATATAGTAGGAATAATTTTAGTGCTCATCATCATTGGGCTTCATTTAATCTTGGTTAAGATGAAATAATGAATCAATCATTAATAAAACATCCACAAGTCGCACAAGTTTTATCACTCATATGTTTTATTTTCTATATAAAGCAAAAATTGTCCTTATATAACAAAACTTCAATTTTATGAGCATAAAAAATTGATTAAATATGTCAACTCGGTCTAAACTCAATTTAAAAAATTTAGATTAAAGTTGACTTAGAATTTTTTTTTTTGGATCGGGTTAGGATTATGAAACATTACCTCTTTAATTTTTCAAATTAGATTCGGGTTGACCCATCAAATTAAAACTAATCCGAAATTGAGTCAAAATCGTCCCATCAACTCGAAATTGACACAGCATTGACTCGATATTAACCTGAATTTGACTCATCAACTTAACATTGCTATTTTACTTAAATTAACTCATCTATTTCTCCTTTTTTTTTTTTAATTAAGAATTAAGGTCATCGTTGTCCTTCTTCTCCTAACAAATTGCCATCCCAATAAGCCTTACACAATGTGCTCTTTTTTCTGGACTCAACCTTTTTATTTTGGCAAGGTATGCATTAAAACCCGAGATCTTAGAATCCTTCACTTAATTTTCTGCCAATGTGTTGCATATCAGATCACATTTCAACTCTGACATTTACTCCTTGCCAAATATTTATCATCACTCTTATACTTCTTTGAATTCATGTATTACACTTGTAACGTACCCTAAAGTTAAATACTATTTCACCATAATCTTTTGAAATTAAATTTATTTACTTTATTTTATTTTAGAATTTTATACATCTTAATAATTTATTTGATTGTAACACTACACGAATTCAAAATCAAGGAATTATCTGGATTTTATCTAGACACTCCATTTTGGTGTTTTTTTTAATATATTTTAAATGCAAACAAAAAAAAATCATCTTACAAGTACAATAAATTTGATATTCTACCAACTCTTACAATAATGCTTACGTGAAAAGTCTTGATTTAATTTTCGGATAATATATGATTAACAATATGTCAAACAAAATTATGATGAAAATAAATAAAATCACCTGAATAATAATAATAATAATAATAATCATAATAATGCATCCCCATAAATATATTACGAGTTAAATAAGTAAATTTAAGTGACAACAAAAATTATATAATATATTGAAAATATGATTCATATTATGTAGGGTGAGAGTTGTGAAGCAGATGATCTTTCCATGTGAACTCGCATGCAGGACTCGGTCTTCCTCGCGGAAGGTTTTCGTTCTCCCCACAGCGACCATATTAACCTATCTCTACTCCCTCTCCCCCATAATTTACCGCTTCCACCACCGCCTCACCTTCTGTTTCCTTCTCCATCAAATACATAAAACTCTACGCGGCGCCCCCGATGGCTCTTGCTCCAGCCGCCAGCCGACGGCGATGGACCCTCGCCCTCGCAGCCGCCGGCCTCTCCGCCTACGGAGCCTACAGAATCTATCATCTACCTTCCGTCTCCGCCAAACGCCAGAAGCTCCTCAAGCTCTTCAAGCTCCCTTTCTCCGTCGCTGAGGCCGTCTCCTCTTCCGCCGACGCTGTAAGTCTCCTATCTTGCGATCTCCAAAACTTCCTACGCTCACGCTCCGATTCCGACGAAATCCCCACAAGCTTCAAGCAACTCGCTAAAATTGCGCGATCCGATGAGTTTTCAATTTCAATTTCTAGACTTTCCGATGCCCTAGCGGTCGGAATCATTCGAGGTCTTCGCTCTGCTTTCGATTCTCCGGTGACGGAAGCGCGGACAAGCTCAAGCTTCTCTGACAGGCTCCTTGACAAACTTTTCTCTGATAAAGGATCCGACTTTGCTTCGGTGGTGGCTGGAAGTTTTGCAAGGAACATCGTGATGGCCTTATATGGCAGAGGAGAAACAAGTAATTCTTGCGATGATGTGCCAGCTTGGGTCAATTTGATGTGCACCGACAAATGTAAGGAGCTGATTGTCAACAGCATCCAGCAGTTTGTGAAAACTGCTGTGTCTATTTATCTGGACAAGACAATGGATGTGAACACCTATGATCTTCTGTTCTCCGGCCTCACAAATCCCATCCACGAGGCTAAGGTGAAGGATATCTTGGTTTCTGTTTGCAATGGTGCGGTTGAAACCCTTGTAAAGACTTCTCATGTTGTGCTGAGCAGTTCAAATTCAAGTTCATCAATGAACAGCAGAAAAGATGCAAACCAAGTTTGTTTGCCTCAGAACTTGATGAGTTCTGATGATATAAAGAGTAATAATAGTAGTGGATGGGTTGAGTAGAGCATTCTTCTCCTTATTGTGTTTTTTATTGTTCTCAAGCATATATTTTTCCAGACAGTTTGTTTTGGATGTGACTGGTAGAGTCACATTTGAATCTGTAAGGTCTTTTGTTAAATTCTTCATGTGGAATCTTCAAGATGGCATGAAGAGGAGTGTGAATGTTGTTAATGAGAAAGTTGTAGAAAGGGGTATGGATGTGATGAGATACTTAAGCGCCAAGACTATGTTTGCTTTCAGCTTATGTATTGCACTTTGCATGGGCGTTGCTGCAGGACAGAGAGTTTTGTTGGCAGCTTAATTTGTAAGTGATAATGTTACTAAGAACTTGATAGGATTCTTTTTTGACATAATTCTTCTTACAAATGCTCACTTAATGAAATTTTATAAGCAAAGGTTTGGATGATGGCCATTGTTGTTTGTTTTCTCCTTTTATGTAATTTATGTGCTTACAAATTGTTGCAAATGAGTGCAAAAGTAGAAACGAACTTGTTAATTCAAACTACTGATGCTATTAATGAACTACTCAATAGGAAACTATGTAGAATAATGATAAATAGACTTCAGAGATTTTACTGTGTAGTCACTGACAAGTACTATGCTTTTGGACTATTTCATGTTCAGATGTGATACTTAATTGCCTCAACAACCCTGATGTTAAAGAAGACAAAATTTCCCTAATATTTGATATGATTTGTAAAAGAGTTTGACGAAAAAAAGTATTCAAATTTGGATGTAAAGTTAGCTACCAAACTAATAATCAGTGTCATAGGCCAATTAACACATGATATGTATCTCTTGGTGGATCAAGTGATTAGTGCTCCGGATTTCTTCACTGGTTGATGGTTTGAGGTGTTCAACATCCAGGTGAAAGAGATCAGTGATGAGTTTGCGGAAAGCGATGTGTGGCGAGGTAGTGATTGGAGGAGGTTGACAAGGTGGCAGGCTTTAGCGAAGGCTTAGTTGGGGATCTAGGAGTTAGCAGCAACAAATGCGGTGACCTAATCCAATTAGAGTTCTCAAGTGGTAACTGCAAAGCGCACTTCGTAGAGACTGATGATGATTGATGAACATGAGTGGGGACCGATGGAGGCTGCTATAATTTAGAAAAGTCTAACTTGTAGTTGGATTGCGATAAAATGAAGGAACTGTATGGTAGAAGGTAAAAATATTTTGAACTATATAATATTATATAGTTTTTGTTTTCTTGTTTTATTTATTTATTTATTTATTTTTATTTTTTAGTTTATCTATTGCTGGATGTTTTTGATAAAAGAAGAAGACAGAAAAAGTTGTTGTATCTTGCATTTATTCTTTGATCTCGTGAAAATATCTCTCTTATAGTTCATGATGTAGTAGAACATTTAAATCTGTTGTCTTCTTTTGTGGTGTGTTTTCTAGGAGAGCATTCATCTTCTTATTGTGTTTCTTATTGCTCTCAAGCATATATTTTTTTTCCTACAGAATTGGATCAGAGTAGGAGTTTTGTAGTTTTATGAAATACTGAAATAGTAGGAGCAATGGTGTTTGGATTATAGGAAGGTGAGGATCAATAGATTTGATGAAAAGGATTTCAGATGTTAGAAGATGTAGATGAAGAACTATCTATGCTACAGAAAGCTGCATCTACTTTTTAATAATCCAAATCTAGTACCATGGGCCAAGAATATTAGTATATATTGGATAGACAGGCATATGAGATTATATGCTGTCATCAACAAAGAATGTTGTCTTAAGTATATCGCTTAAGAAGCTCACAAGAAGTGTGATGAGAGCTCCATTAAATATGTACGAAAAGCCTTCAGCAGTAAAGAAATATATATAATTAGAGAATGTTTAATCTCAAGATTTCTTAAGACACTTTCACCACAATAAATGTCAATAAGTTAAATCAAATCACAAGTCGGTTGAATGTAATAGACATCAACTTTGATGATGCAATTGTGATCCGAGCTTTCTACCTTCTCTTCTTGAAAGCTAGGCTAGAATTGCAACGACAATCAATAGTTCATGTGAGTCCACAAGGCTAAAACTCAATGATGCTTGTGATGTAACATTCCATGAGAATTTCATAAGAGAATGAGATTAAGGTTTTTTTAATTCCTCTGAATCTTAAAAGCAGGGGAATATGCGTAAGAAGAGGTAATGATGGAGTCTTATCAAAGCATTAATTTCTTAATATATAGATATGAACCAATAATTCCTTTAAAAGTTTATTGTTTGATGACCAACACAAGGGAAACACTTTCACAGTAAATTGGAAAAGCCTCAAGTTGATTATAAAACAATCAATAGCTATTGAAAAACAATCTAAATCTACATTAAGTGTGCAAAATGTTGTTATCCATAGGCATTAGGGGACAAAAGATGTGGTAATACCTTTTAGTTCCGCAGGCATTAGGATATCAAAAGATGTAGGTATCCATAGGCATTAGGATATTAATTCCTTAGGCCTTAGGGGACAAAAGGATGTGTACGAGAAGCCTTCTGTAGTAAAGAAATATATATAATTAGAGAATGTTTAATCTCAAGATTTATTAAGGCACTTTCACCACAATAAATGTCAATAAGTTAAATCAAATCACAAGTCGGTTGAATGTAATAGACATCAACTTTGATGATACAATTGTGATCCGAGCTTTCTATCTTCTCTTCTTGAAAGCTAGGCTAGAATTGCAACGACAATCAATTGTTCATGTGGGTCCACAAAGCTAAAACTCCATGATTCTTGTGATGTAACATGGAGTTTCCATAGGATATCAAAAGATGTAGGTATCCATCGGCATTAGGATATTAATTCCTTAGGCCTTAGGGGACAAAAGGATGTGGTAACATCTTTAAATTCTCGAGGCATTAGGGGACAAAAAGATATAGGTATCCATAGGCATTAGGGTATTAATTCTTTAGTATATGGATATGAAGCAATAATTCCCTTAAAAGTTTATTTTTTGATGACCAAAACAAGGGAAACACCTTCATTGTGAATTGGAAAAGCCTCAAGTTGATTATAAAAAAATCAATAGCTAATAAAAAGCAATCCAGTTGATTATAAAACAATCAATAGCTAATGAAAAACAATCTAAATCTACTTAAAGTGTGCAAAATGTAAGTATCCATAGGCATGAGGGGACAAAAAGATTTGGTAATACCGTCATAAGATTCTTGAAGTTCAAATTCAAGCACAGGGAGTTCAAACAAAGTGATATGATTCTAAAGCAAATAAGAGTTTTTGGAAAGCATTCTAAAATTGGGGAAGTTCGTGGCTAATTAAGATGGATTCTATATTGTCGAAGAAAAGCTTGAAAGGGTGCCTACAAATGAAAAAGTAGCGGAGGAGTGCCTATCCCTGAGAACATGGAACTCTAATGATTTGAAATAATTTTATCCTTAAGGAGCTAATGTGTACATGGCATATTTGAGTTGATAAGGGTGTTCTATAGTTTTGCTGGTCAATGAACTAAATCCCAAGTATTGAAGAGAGATTGATTTCTTTTGTTATCAATATTCATGATTAAAACATTGATCTTATTTGTTATTTGATCAGTTCTTATTAATTAAAGATTCAGATCTCTTATATTAGGAACCATATTTTCATTTATATTAAATGTCATTATAAACTATTTTCTCTTAACATCCTGCAGGAGATGAACATCTATCAATAATCATTTTCTTCTAATTCACAACCACTTAACTAATGTTGATAACCAAATCATATACCCTATGGTATCAATAATCAAAACAATTTTGAGTTACTGCCAACAATTAAGGCATAATTGTCTTATCTCTATCATGAATTAAGATAGAAAAAGATTTTCATTGGTAACCCAAAATTATTTACTCCACTTTAAAAAAACTATGACAATTAATTAAACGGTTGACTATGAAATATATATTTGAAAAGTATAAATAAGTGCATAAAATAATATCAAACACAAATCTTAATGATTGAAGTAACATAAATAAAACATGTTTATACATTCAAATTTAAAATTTATAGATGAATGAATTACAAATAACTTACATTTCAACTAACAAAGCATGTAAGTTCACGTCCACATGGATGGTTCGAAAGCTAAGCTTATGCAAGTGGAGATTATGATATTTATAAAGAAAATATAGAAATATGTGATATCATTCATAAAAGAACAAAATAAATAGCATACACAAATAATTTTTAATGAACTTACCATGATTATCAAGGGAAGCCATCAAGCTTACTTATTGGAAGATCCACCAAGCTATTCCCAATATCTAAGAAAGAGACTCGTACTTTTTCGTTATGGTATCATTTGCAAATATTTTATGTGTTTAAATAAGCATTGTAAAACTTGTAACATTAATGGAAAAATTAAAGGGGACTTGCCATATCAAGATTGTTGTTCATCATGGATATTATGACTCCTATATTTAAAGTCTATTACTTTCAAGCTCTTGATTTTATCTCTCGACCTCAACAATTTGTAACTCTCATACTTAATGATGGGGATTAAGTGTAACTTACATCTTCAAGGTTTATAACTATTAACTTTTTACTTTATTGTTCCGTTTCTCCAATATTGTAAATTTCATCTTCACGATGTAGATTAATTTTAGCTCTTATTTTTAAATTTTATATTGCTCAAACTATTAAATTATAACTCCTATTCTCTTGATGGAGATTGAGTGCAACTCCATGCTCCAGTTTTGTAATTTTTATGCTATTGATTAATAACTTATTTAATGATTTTATGGTCTTTTGCAATCATCATGTATGAATTAAAAAATATAATTTTTACATAAACATTTATCTGAAGGTGAAAAATCATTCTTATGCCATGTGTTGAATTCGAGATTGTCCTGTCAAGCACACTCAAGGAATAGAGTATGGGAGAGTGAGAGAGTGAGTGAGAGAGATAGGAAAAGAGACTAGATTAGTTCAAATAATCAATTAGCCTTTTGCTATAGAAATGATTTCTTATTTATAGACTTATGAGTGTGAAGTGTACAATTACCTGCGTACACCTGTTTGAAGTAAGGACTTCACAAGGCATTTTGATCATAAATAAATACATGAACAAAATAATGAAAGAATAAAATAAAATAAGAAAGATCTCTAATTTGGCGGTCTCATCCTCTTGTCATCTGAGGCTGGTTCTTCAATCGGTCAAATTATAGGTTTTCAATCGGTTGAACTATAGGCTTTAGGTCGACCGAACTATGAGCTTTTGGCCAGTTGAACTGAGGGTTTTCGGTCAATCATGTTGCGGTTCTTCAGTTGTCCAAGGGGTAGGTGTTCGATTGGCCAAGCTACGGACCTTCAGTCTTTTGGCTCTCCTAATCCGATTAACAGTTAAAGTTCCCTTTGGACGAGACTCCTATTGTCAGGATGAAGCTAGAATCTCAGGCAGAGGGCACTTTACCGTAGTCCGACAAATAGCTCAAACCATTCAGCATGAAAGTTGTTAGGGAGGTTTGTGTTGGTGTCGCATTAGATATTGGTGGTCTTTAAGGTTCTTTCCGAGATGTTTGCGGTGTTATCTTGAGGAGCTTGACGATTCTCCTTTCTTAGGGGATATTTTCTTGGTCTTTGTCCCGAGGTGTTGTTGTTCAACAGGTTTGTACATTTTCTTAGAAAGGGTTAATACTGATGTGATCTTTAGATCCTCTTTGACCACTCTTGTCTTTAGGATCATAAGATTCCTCTGAGATTCATGCTGACACATTATGGGAGTACATATTTAGTTCTTAGGATTCTCTTGCTTTTTTAAAGTCGTACTGCAATAAGAACAAGATAATTAAAAAAAGAAAAAGAAAAAACTGATTTGTTTTTGTCAAAATCAGTGCTTTAGTAACAAAATTCCCTTAAATTTGGCATTTGTTGCCTTTTTTAAATAGGGCACATAGGATGTCTTAATCATTCACGTTTCCTGTGAGTGTGTTGGTTCGGTCGGCGGGAGCAATGACGGACAGCAAGAAGTCTCCACTGGATGCCCGTGTCGAGGATGTGTTGAGAGAAGCCTTTGGGGAGAGTTGATCTGGGAGTGTGAATAAGCCTGCGAAGGCTAGGAGGCTGGAGGAAAAGACCCAACCCAAGGGGGGTAAGGCGAAAGAACCAGCTCTCTTCCAAGAAAAGACATATGGTGGATATTGATCAGGTTTGTTCCTCTGACTCGCTGACTCTTCAGCTGAAGGGAGGCAAGGATGTCCTGCCCGCGGACGTGCTGACTGCGCCCCTGGTAATGGTTCGCGATTCTCCAGCTAAGCAGCTCCCACTCCCGCGGCTGCCTTGGGATGAGGTTGTTGGAGTCCCTCAGGGCAGGTTCTTGCTCCTCAACTGGGTCCCCTGGGTAGGACTACGTCGGCACTGGCTCCAGAGCTGGACTCTGGGAGAGAGTGGATTGGTGTCGCGTTCAACCCTAGTGAGAGTTTCCCTTCAATTTGATGGTCTGAATTGGACCGATACTTGGATATATGAAAACGGTCTATTTTGATTAACTTCTTTTAGTATGTTGATTCTGCTACAATCTCATAGATGAAAGATTCTTGGGCATTGTCTCGCCAATGACAGGTGCCGTTCAAGCTTCTGTCCTTGAGGCGACTATAGGAACCCCACTCCACGTGCAAGGTGGAGTGACCATGGTTCCTCCGACTGTTCCCTAAGAAGCACCTATGGCAAGGTCCGGTGGTTCGCCACTAGAAGCGATGATGAAGAGCTAGAGGTGAAGCTGGCGACCTTAAGTGTGGAGCACTCGGCGAAACTGGCAGCTCTTGAGGGCGGAGATGACCGACCTTAGGGAGACCTCTTCCTTCCTCCTAGTCCAGGCTCAAATTGGCATCATGGATAGGTTTAGGTTCAGTGGCCGACTGCTGTATCAGAAATTAGTTCAACGGGCACTCATCTTGCCAAAGGCGGCTAATGAGCCGCTTTTAAAATATTTTCTATTTGAATGAAATAAAGTTTTTTTATTAGTGAAGTAAGTTTAAATTGTACACCTTTTTTCTTAGAACTTGTGTTGATTTGATGGGTTTTGGTATGAGACTCCATTTTGGGCGGAGCTTGAAATCTCGTTGGCACCCTATTTAAAGGGTTTTCAAGAAAATTTCAGCGCATTTGATCCTTTCAGCACCCTTTGGTTAATATTCCCTTCTTACTTCTCTGTGGCTATGGGATGGCTCTTAGGAGACGGTAGACAGGTATTCACCGAAGCGCTTTGGTTTGTTTGTGGCCATGGAGGTTTCGACTGTTGGGTCGCTTGATGCCGCAACGATCCACGATGCTTACGTTTTTTACGAGAAAAATATAAGAGCGGTCGGTCACGATGTTCGAGCAACTGACTTGTATGACAATGAATCTTCTAGAAGAACCAATTCCTTTTAAAATTGTGGCGGCCCTTATGCACAAAACTGTCATCGGTACTGAATCATTACGGGTGATCCCGACCCAACTAAAATCCAACTCCAACGCGACCATCATGACCTATGTGTTCTATTGTTGACGGATGAAAATTTCGTGGTCGCAGGAGTTATTTTCTTACATGTTTTCCTTCCGGGTGGAGCCCGATAGCTATGTGGTTTTTGGAGTCTTACATCAAAATTACTTCAGTCTTAACCTCTCTTCAAAAAAATTGGTTTACCTAGTCTTTATGTTTCCCTTGAAATGGGCATAAATCTATTTCAAATTGCTCATGAGGCATACATGCTGTAATCTTTGATTTTATTTTAGTAGAGATTATTGTTGCATCTTTCTTTTCAATCAGTTTCATAAACCTCCATTTTTAATTGGTGTTCAGCTATTTTATATTCACCATTTCAGTTTGTCCATCCTCAATTACCCCAAAATTGATTCAAAATGATTCATTATGAGTTTAATAAACCTAGATTAATATAATAAGAATAGCAGAGATACAAATAAAGATCAAAATTTATCCTATTGAAGTATGTTGAGTAGGGTTGAGAAAATAGGTGATGGAGGTCTTTTAATTTCAAAATCCTTGCCATTATTTGCAGGTCAGAAACATTTTTAGGTGCTCCAACTTAGGATACTTATATATATCTACATTATGGCTTGTCAACCTTTTTCACTTGGGCATCATCTCAGATATAGCCCCGCCTTCCCCTTCATTAATTTCCATCTGTTGTGGCTTTTCAGTAATTAATAAAAGTTGTGCAAGGGATATTCGAAATGAAAGCTTTCTCAATATTAAAAGCTCAAGAGAAGTCTTATTTAACAAAAGAGTTTAAGGGAAATTCAGTACACATTTAAATATGTATCTGTTATAGCCAACTGCATTGATAGTAAGTGGTAAATTGCAGACAAAGTTGTATTTAGACTTATAATACACATTTAAATATAGATCTGCTATAGCTAACTGCATTGATAATAATTGGTAAATTGCAGACAAAGTTGTATTTAGACTTAGAATTGAAATAAAGAACAAAGCTGTATTGCCAGATCAAAAAACTCTATGAAATTCTTTTCATGCTGCTGTCCTCATTTAAAAGCCAACTAAACTAATTTTTAATTCTGAGCTCAATGGCCCTACTTCCTCTTCCACTCCTAGTCCTTCTACCAGACTTAAGACTACATGCTCAAATTTTTTAGTGTTTTTCGCCTGACACACACTGAGAATATTAAAGGAATTATATGCTTGAAATGTTATAGAAATGTTGATACAAAAAAATAAATGTAAAGCCTACATTTTATTACATTTTATTTTTGGAAGAAATTGAGTCTTGGGATTAGTGAATTTGTTAAGGCTATTTGCTAAACATGCATCAAATGATTGTAGATATGCTACTTGTAATGATAAAATGTGTATGTTGATTAGTAACAGTGACAATCCTATAAAAGAGTTATCTCCACGCATGCAGTCAGGAGGGCTAGTCTTAAACATGTGCCTCATCCTAATCATTTTTATGTCAGTTGAGCTAACCATTCCTCACTGCTTGTGACTGCTAGCTGTGATATGATATAATGCCGCACACAGTCATTTTCATATTTTCTTGGGCAGACCGTGATTTTATGATATGGATGCCATATACTTTGGTCATGATAGAATATATGTAATTTTCAAACAAAACGAAGACCATTTGATTATTTTCAATGAAACCATGGGAGAACATTATGTGCCTGTTCCATCTATATCTAAGTCTAAAATTAGACCTACGCTAGCCAGAAGTAAACTTGCAGAATTACAATTGATTATGATGGGCTCATCATCCACGCTTGATCCATATCCTTCCCCAACTCCCTGCAACATGGCTTCCGCAAAGTCCATCAGTCGGTGAGAAATTCAAATACTTGCCCTATGTTGCAACTAGGTTTCTCAATTTTGCATGTCCAAGTCCGTCACATTTTCACCTGTTTAGCTAATAGATTTATATCAGCTTTTCTTTTGTTGGTTTCTTTTTTATTGACTCATTTCACATTTGTTTCTAAGTATAAAGCCACTCATCCACCTAAACATTATCATCTCGGCAACACTTAACTTAATTTTATGCTTCTCTTTTAAAGGCCAACTTATAGCTCCACTCAAGAACGCGAAAAAGCCATGGAGCTACACCAAACCAAAAAATTTTACTATGAAGAAAAGAAGAATGCATAGACGACACCACACATAGTTCCTCTCTATTCTCATGGAACTTACAATAATTTTGGGATGCTTCTCTCTTGATCGCAAGAGAGAAATCGCTGAAATCTACTCTCAAACTTGTAAATCTCGCTCCACGTAACTTCGCACTTGTTACGCTCGCTGTCAAGTTAGTTTCGTGAGTATCTGAATTTGTATGGAAACTAGGGTGTAAATCCTTAACTGGAGAGAAATCACTCCTGGTATTGGAGCACCACTACCAGTAGCTGCCTTTCCACACGCTCGGGTCGCTCTGGTTGAAATCACGATACGGACGCCTCCACCCCTCTCGGGCACTGGAATGTCGACTGTTCTGTTTTTGGACATAAAAACAAGCAACTCGAGGTGCAGTTGCGTCTTGAATGGGCACCGGACTTCCCATTGCTCGATGCACTGGGCGCCTGGGCTCCCCTACTGCCACCGGGGCTCCACTTATGGGTGTAGGGCGTCTGGTCCCATGGACTAGGATCCTGGGGCACTGCCATTGGGGCATTGGATTGTTGTGCTGGGCTCTGGAAGTCTGGGTAGGCAAACAGGCTTCATATTCTAACAGAAAGTAACATGAGTATCAAGCAAGAGAAAGAAATAACTTTTAAACTACTTTTCTCCATTATAGATTGACATACATACCATTCGAGTCTCATTTATTTACATATCTAACACCTAAATTTTAACTTTTAAATACATACACCTTACCCATGCTTGAAAGGGTGTATTTCACTTTTAAAAGTTAAAATGGTGTTTTTTTTTTTTTTTTTTTTTTTTGGACTGGGTGGTATAAATGTAAAATAGAAATCTAAAAGTAAAATTAGATGATAATGTAAATACATATGAATTGAGGGGTATGCTATGTATGTAAATTCCCCCTTTTTTTATTGAAAGCTGTCCTCTTTGTAAGACATGTAACAAAATAGAGTTCATTATGTGAATGTTATTCTCATGCCGTACCATGATAACGACGCAAAACAAGTCACTCACAATAATGCTTTAGGGTGCGTTTGAGGCAGCTTGTGCTTAACCAAATAAGCAGTCTATCCTAAAATGCGGCTCGGGGTTCGATTTGTGGCATGCGTTTAGTGTAAAAACTCAACCGTGTTTTCGAATAAGCTGCCGAAACGTGTTTCTCAAATTATGAGACTGCATTTTGGAAACGCCGCCCGCACTTATAAGCTGTCCCAAACAGACACATAAACTTAGCAGCCACTATTCCCCCAAATTTCATCTCGGCTGTTCTTCATCAACTAACCACAGACCATAAACCATTGTATTAGAAAATCAGCTTTACTATTCATCAAACCTACATGCGAAGACTGGAATAAATAAATTATGTTTGCTGTAGCACAAGCTGGAGTCTCTCAGCTCCTTACTGAAGCTTCTCCATCAACACAGAAGAATTTGCAACGATGCAAGGGATTCATCCAAATGTTTCATGGAAACCGTTACACGGGTTTAATTACTTTTCACTCTGCTTTGAATCCGATATTTTGCTTCTTAATAATATGTTGCATGTCTGAGGGCATTGCATTGGTTTACCCATGAAAAATTCTCTCTAATTTCTCTCATATAATAAAAAGATCATATTACCCCCAGTCTCTTTTGAAGAAATAAATTAAAATAATAAAAGAATTCAATAAAATATTCAAATTGCTCTTTAACTCACCAATATTGGTTGTCTTAATTAATTAGTACTGATGTAAATAAAAGGGTGAGCAATCATATACAGACCACCTGAAACTTGTTATCAACCATCCATTTTCATCCACTTTTCATTTCCCACTCAAATATTAAATTTCTTGAAAAAATACCAACCGATATTTTTCATTTTATCAAATATTCAATAGTTTGATTGTGGCTCGCTTTTTTTTCATTTTTTATCAAATATTCAATAGTTTGATTGTGGCTCGCATAAACACATTGATTTGCTAGTCTCAAAAAAATTCATATTGGTGATCAATTTGTATATACCATTCTTTAAGGTGGTCTGTATGTAATTATCCAAGGAAAAAAAAAAAACTTTATAATTGCTAAATAATTAATAGTTGAGCTGCTGTTATTCTTTGTAAAAAGGAGGCATCATAATGAGTAAGTCTGATATAAATAAGTAGTTAAGTAAATTTTTAGTCCATTATTATTACCTTTCCCCTGCAATTCTGCCCAACACAAGCAAGTGCGCGCGTGAAAGGGAGGATGTGACGTCTCATTCTTTGATCTCAAATCTCGACAAATACTATTGTGTCAAGACTTTATATTCATATTATATTTTATCATACGCTATATTTGCTTAAAAAAAAATTATGATCGATCTCAAATCTCGACAATTACTTTATATTCATATTATATTTGATCATACGCTATATTTGCTTAAAAAAAAATTATGATTGTGATTTAATCACTTTATTTTCAATAAGTTTATTGGCGTTCACTTGCATTTAACAAGTCATTTACTCGACTCTTTTGATTCAATTAAAAAATGATTCAGCACTCGACAGTTTCGATTAAAATTCTCCAACAAACAGCTTTATGTGCTAATTAAGCGGAAATTAGGTGGTGCCTAATTAATTAGAATCATATATCACTTCAATCTTTTTCTGAAAAACCCAAAAAAAAAAAAAAAAAGATCCGACGGGACAAACTCTGAATGGACGGTAGTGGCTGTAAAAAAAAGTTGGGATTATTGGTTTCTGATGGGACTCCGCTTACCATTTCTGAATTCCTTTGTGGAAATTAGGAAAACAATCTCACTCATGTTTTCCTCTTTAGTCCCATCAATTTGTTCTACTTCAACCTCACCACTTTTCTTCAGCAATTTTTAGACTCTAATGATTTATTTTCTTCTCAGAAGTCTGTGAGTTAGATCTGACAGAGTGATGCGCATATCAGATTAGTAAATTTAAATTGGATGTTAGTTGGGGAAACTTATTTTTAAAAATTTTATGCTGATTTTGAAGATCTTAATCAGTTAAATAAATTGCCCAACCATTATGCTACTTTAAATTTATCTTCGTCTTTGTCCGATGCTAATTAATTAACAGAAAAATAAAAATCTTACATTCATACCACAATTCTTATCTACTCACATATCTAATACCCAAAGTTTGATATTTGCCCTCATAACAACTTGATGTAATAAACCTATGCAAGAAAATGTGATTTTTACAAAAAAAAGTAATTGGGATAATTCTGAGCGTTAACAGATTTGAGTGATCTGCATGCAAATATGAATCTTTAGGTATTATATATGTAAATACATATAGAAGAATTGTATGCTATGTCTGTAAATAAACAAAATCTCATGCATGCATCCAAACATGGAGATTTATTAGCTATAGAAACACTAGCAAAAGATATAAAGCCATCTTTTCATGCACAGAAAGCCTCCAAAGTATATAGGACCAGATCCAATGTATCAGTCTACAAAAATGCCAACTGTATATAATTAATACTAATTCAATAGTCAGCCCTTCACTAATTAAAACATAAATTACATTTCTGAAAACCAATGAACATGCCATTAAACCACAAGATTTTTAGATTTGTAACCATCTAAAACTGAAAAACAAAAAAAAAAGAAATGAAACTTATCCATGCTTCTCTTGCGTGTAGATGTAGTCAGTGTGAGCGATAAGTGTCCTTCTCATCAAGCACTCCTCTTCACAAACTTTGTCAAGAACAAGACTTGCCTATGATCAATAAATCCAAAACCCCTCTCAAATAAAGTAAAAAATTATTAAGCAAATTAAATATTAGGTATAAAAGAAACCCTGGAGTTAGATAGAAATGCAAACAAAATAGCTTACCTCTTGCAGTTGGCTTTCCAGAGTGTGCTCAGGCAGTGGACGGGTCATCGGTTGAGCACTGGAGATAAAGAGGAGAAATCCGACCAAAATTAACTTATTATAAGTGGACATGTTCTTTTTTGATTTGGAGAGCAACGCTTCCTCTCCCCTCGTTCATTTAAATAGCCGCCCCATCACATCTATTGCTGCTCTCCATAAATCACTTATTCTTTACTGAAACAAATATATATATTATTTCCTTATTAAAACTCAGCTAAAACATCAAATCAAGTTTCAAAGCAGATAGAGCAAGTTTTATCAAATAATAACTGTCATTTAATTTTTAACTGTAACCATAATTATTGATACTAATTACGAGGAGTTTTAATTAATGTTCACATTTAATCGACAATAAAGATCTTCAACCGGCTTCATTGACTTCAATTAAATGTCATTTGAATTCATAGTTTGAAGCAAAACGAGGTTGAGATATAAGAACTGTAAAGTCCCGAAAGGCTTATTTATTGGTCTTTTAAAGTCAAACTGACCAGTTTTTTGAGGAAGTTGCAAACTCTGTTAATGATCTTAAAAGCGATTTATGTGATTGTATTGTATTGTTATAAAATTTTTTAACAACAACTATTGGAACTGTAAAACCAAATAGGGGTGAATATTTTGTCAATATGTGATAGATATTGTGTCATTAAATTAATCTGATCCTATGGCAATGTAATCCTATTTTGTTGAACTGAACTCATATTTGTAGATCACACTCAAGAAATAAAATGTATGAAGTAGAGAGGGAGAGAGTTTTAAGAGTACTAAAATAAGTGTTGTGTTTTTATATTTCTTTAAAAATGTCTTTACATTTTAGTGCTACTGTATTTATAGCAAGTTAGAGCTTGATGCATGCTAAAAACTTTGCAGTGGCAAGGTAATGAAATATCATCTTAGCGTTGCACGAGAATTAAACACACGCAGATAAAAGAAGAGAAGCAAGCATGAGAAGACACTTCAACTTTTTACGTGGAAAAACCTAGAAAGGAGGAAAAACCCCGGGGTCTAGCCAAACTGAAATAAACCACTATGAATGATGAGTACATATGTTTATGCTTTTCTTAAATTAGAAAAGATGGAATTACAAAGTTGTATAACTATAAGCTGACAGCAGTTCTTTGTGACAGTATATTGCAAGGGTCATTATTGATTGTTGTGGAGGTAGTAGTCCGTTGTGAGTGTTGTAAATGGTTGCTCTAGTAGCTTTGATTGGCTAGTAAAACCGTAGTAAGCAATTGTGGGAACTGTGGACCACATAGGCTATAGTAGCGAGTATGATTGACGTCCGTAGGCCACGGGGGACGGAGTCAGGAACTACACGAGCTATGAACCACGTAGATCGTATGGGTGAGTATGAAATGACGATCGTAGGCCGCGGGAGCTGGATTCGGTAGCTACAAGAGCCGTGAACCACGTAGGACATTGGGGCGAATATGAATGACGTCCCACGTGGCTAGAGTCGAGAGTTGTAGGAGCTAATGACTACGTAGGTCATGGTTGGCACATAGACCATAGTGATGAGCTCTTATCCCACAGATAGGAAATGCTTACAAGATTTTCCAAATTATAACATTGACTGACAGTGTCCGGTTCGTGGTGTTGACGACGATCGACATTGGTTGACGACGGTTGGCAGTGGTCGACGACGGTCGGTGGTGGTCAACGATAATCGACGTCGGTTGGCGGGCCTTAAGCTCTCTCTTTAGGCTTCAGCCTTCTCTCATTTGAGAGGTAGGGGTCTATTTATAGTATTTTGAGTGCAATTAATGCAGTAATATGAGTCATTTTGATCGGACG